GGCGAGTTGGATTGTACCGGGAACGGGACGGCAACGTAGCTTCGTCGAAGCTTATAACAGGGGGCGCATGGTATCCTCGTGCGAAAGTTCGTTGTAGCACGTCAACAACAGGCCGTATTTTCCACGCTCGTTCGAGCCGTGCCTGGGGTGACTTGTTATTCGAGAAGTGAAGGTAGCCCTTTATGTGAAAGAATTGGTTCTTGGTCATTAACTGTCCAAATCGATTCACTGGCAGTGCACCAACCCTTTTCAGAGACCAATGAGCCGCAATGCCCTTCCGGATAGGTGCCAGCATCCGTGCAATCAACAGAACCATCAGTCGTAGCACCTTTCAGGCTTCAATGTCCGCTACGCTAGCTATACGCTGCTTGATAGCACCAAGCTCTTCTATTTCTCCTCCGGCCCGCCGTTGTTGGGACCGAATCGCCCGTGCACGCTGTGGAATAGATTGGGAGTGATATTGATTGCTTTCAATCGCAATCTGACGCCAAAGCTTGGGCGGCATAAAGTAGAACAGCAAAGCCAACGGGTCTTCTGCAACTGCAAGAACAATCGTTGATGGTCCATACGGTCCATCGTACAGGTCCTTGTACGTGGGGTCTGCACCAAACTTAGCAGGATCTGACATCACCAGAACCTTCATTATGCTAGTTCTTCTGTTGGATGTCCCGGTCCGCACACACAATTATGTTGGACTTGGCCACCATAGCGTACCGTACTCCCACCCGGTACTTTTCATTGCCTTGATAGCTTCACTGTCCTTTGATACTGACGACCACGCAGACACAGGAAGCTCATCTTGTTCTTCATCGGTATCCTCGTCGGTCAGCTCTCCGATTTCCCAGTCCGCAACCCAGGTGCAGTCATCATCTTCCGCATCGTCTTCATCTTCAGCCTCTTCATGCTGATCTTCATCCTCATCTGAGTTGAGGTCGGTGCACGTCTGAGCGTCCGAGTCCATCATGTTGGGGTCACCGTCGACAAAGCTACTGTAAAAGCCCTACTACCGTACACTACATGTACGTGAAAAAAACATGTTTTATTACTAATACATCGCGTTTTAGATTTGATTTAGCTGACCGTGTAGGTCACATTGACAACAAGTGATATATTCCGAGAATGAAGTTCATGCCATTGGCACGTAGCACAATATACCTCACCTTAAATTAGCAACTGGTGATTATTAATAACTGAGGGTCCATTCGGAAGTACGGTTGGAATTCGTTGATTATCCTTTCTGCTAAATGAAAAGTAATAGCTTAACTATTCATTCATTGCCAGCAGGGATGCCGAAAAATACATTGATTGCCCGTACAATACAATAACGACCCTAAAATTATTTATTTTCGGACCTTAAGGCTGACCATAAATAATTTACCTAATCTTGTGGATGAATACCTTAATTTACTGTTAACTTAGGAAATCGCAGATAGATTGCTATCAAGAGCCCACCTTCTTCCGTCTAACGTACACTCACTTTGCTATCTGCATCATGGCCACCCAAGCCTTTTCCAACACTCGAATCTCTGGTTTCTACTTTTCAGCCGTCACGGATGCATTCGATGAAACTATTGAGGGTCTCTATCGGTGCCGGTGTGGTACCGTTCGTCGACAAGCACCCCGAAGTGGGTACACCAACCTCATCCAGCACGTACGTAGCCAACACCCTGACTACGTGGACGTGATGCGCGAGGCGGACACCGGTCGCGGCACCCTGAAACCATGGATTCGTCAACGTGCAAGGGACCTACACGGGTGGCTAGACTGGATAATATCCAGCAACCTACCGCTCCGTTTCTGTGAGAACGCTATGGCGAGATAGTAAGATACTGTGTCTCTTCTGCTATATCGTTTTCACGACTAATTAATTGTGTGTAGCTACACTAGCCTATCTCCAGTTTCTGTCGAGACATTGCGCGGGGCCAGGGAAGGGGTAACGCTGGCAGTAGAGGCCAAGATTAAGGACGAGATGCCTAACCAGTTTGGTCTCGTCATCGACGGATGGTCGCACGACTCCGAGCACTTCCTAGCAGTCTTTGCCTGCTACCAAGTGGACGGAGTCGCGAAATACCCACTACTGTCCATGGCCCCTCTGATCAACGAACCGGACGATGACCATGGTGCTCGCACGCACGAAGTATTCCTAGCTACAATGCTAGAGCGAGACTACGGTAAGCAAGTGAGCAACTGTCTCTTTATGGCTGGAGATAATTGCCAGGTGAACAAGCGATTGGCAACCAGCATGGGTGTTCCGCTGATCGGATGTGCCAGCTACCGCCTGAATTTAGCGGTTCAGGCGTACTTGAGCACCTACGAGGACGATTTGGCGCAGATACAAGCTCTCATGCGTAAAATGAAGACGCTGAACCTCTCCGCAGCGCTACGGTATTTTTTTTATTTTTTTTAATTTTTTTGCACTTTAATTATTTTTTATGTTATGCACATTAGTTTTAAAACGCCTCTCCGACCAATTCTTCGCCAAGACACGCGATGGGGCTCGGCATACCGAATAGTGGAGCGCTACTTTCGACTGGCTGAGTTCCTTCCTGAGGATGACGACGAGATCGAGGATCTCCTGCCGACTCCAAGGACATTGAAGCGCTTGAAGACACTAATGGTGGAGCTTGCACGCGTTGAAAACGTGAGCAAGGCCCTCCAAAAGGACGGTATCGCGATGTTGGATGTCCGTGTCTGGTTTGACGGTCTAGTCGAAGTCGAGCCAAGCTTCAGTCACTACATGGATACGTTTAATTTTGTCATTGTGTTGTCTCACAATTAACAAACACTAACTATTTTATATATATATATAAAATATGAACAATATCAGCTCAAGCGTCTAAATATATATATATATATATTTAGACGCTTGAGCTGATATTGTTCACTCGCCGGACTTTGAGGCTGGATGCGTCAAGGTGCTCAATGGGGGACTGCAGAGCTAAATCGCGCGGAAAAGGATATCCTACAGCCGTTCGAACGAGGTAGCAGCGCTGATACCTCGCGCATGACAAACAACTCCGAAAATGGGTCGTTTGTCATGCAGCTCGAGCGCAAGCGACAGTGCGCTCAGCAAGTTCAGGCGTATCACCTGCTAACCTCTGTACCTCCAACCTTGAATATGGTGGAGAGGTTTTTCAGCCTTGCTCGGATCACGTTCGGCCACGAGCGACATCGTTTGAACCCGTACACATTAGAGATGACTCTCTTTCTACGTGTAAACACGACGTATTGGGACGTCCGCACTGTTGACAGTGCGATCTGATTCTACTCTCGAGCTCTGTCTTTTTAGCATGCAGTTTTAACAGGGCCATAATTCAGTTTCAATTTTTTTCAATGCAAATAATTGATGTTACCGGTACCTCCATTCGTACTGCAGTACCATAACTTATTTTCTTGTTCCCTCGTTGATCAAGTAAAATGCCGTATTCGGCATCCCTGATTGCCAGCAAACCGCTTAGATTGACATCCTTTTGCCAGACCACTCTTCAATAACATGTCATCGAGAGTTTCCATTATCAACTCTGTTTCCGCTTAGCTCTGGTTCGAAGCCGCTCTCATCACCCGCTTGTAGCTTCCATGCTAATGCACAGCTCGCTGGCGTCGTTGCTTAAGCCACAAGGCTTGACACACTCAGCTGTACAGCGTGGACGGGGACCTACTTCCAAGCTTGAACCACGACGTCGCCAAGGTGATGTCTGGAGATCTCAAAGCAGTAGGAATACTTGAATAAGAGCTCGGAAATGCGCCATCGTTCATGCACCAGTCTTTTTGCACAAATAAAATGTGCTATTGAGAGCGTTCTAATTTAATACAATGCCCTGCGTCTACGCCCAAACAATTGGGTGGCCCTCCCCCAATCTGTATGAAGATCCGTACCTGGATGCGGCTACGCGACCTCGCATACGCTCACGTAGTTGGAAAAGCGCTACGTGGAATTATACATGCACCACGCACCCCAAGCTTTTAATAGTTATTTTTACCTCGCATTTCTGTTAGAAGAAAACAGAAATAAATTGATATTGTTATTTTGTAAATATTGTAGGGAGACAATATTAATTGTTAAGACCTCGCTGGAATTGTTCATTATTGTTTTAGAAGAACATAAATTGCACTCTTCTTAACCGACAGTGACCTCTTCTGTGGGGTCCCGTACAATTTGGATGTGACCTCGTTGAAAACAATGTCCCACTTTGGGCGCTGGGGACAAAACGTTGCCAGTAATTCGAGCATGTACTTACAGACACGTAAACACGTGATATCAACTTACTTCGAACATCATCAAATTCTACCGCAGTCCATCGGTTTTAGCTAAGGTTCTGGTGTATACGACATACCTCATAATATGGTATGCTAGCTGGAGCAGAAACATCGCTGTACGACTTGTATTACACCGCCGGTCGGTCGTCATCTATTGTGGATTACTTGTTGACGTCAAGGCTCATAATTAGAGAACTATTTACTTTTTGTGCGCTTTCAATGTACGTGTACTTGTAACTGCAGGAAGTGTACGACCATGTTAGTGGATCTACATGTGTTGTGGTGCAAGACGATGATCTACTAGCATTAGAGGATCTACATGTGTTGTGGTGCAAGACGATGATTTTTACAAGCTGTCCATTTTGCTTGGATCAATACCAGGAAAGATTGCACTAAGAGCAACTCTAACTTCGTGCACGAGAAGGAAATAAAGCTGAAAAGATTTTGTCGTGTCACTTTCGTCGAAGGGGACTGCTTGTGACTCCAAGCAATAACTTTCTCCTACTGTACAGTACGTCGCCCTCTGGTTAAAACTGCTCCAAAGACGAAAACCAACATGCCACTGGCATGCTGTTCCCATTGTGGGACATCAAGATAATGGCTCAAAAGGTCTCTGCACAATAAGCCTCATGCTTAAGATTTCATAGCGTATATATCTGGCCACAACTCTCTATTTTATCCAGAACGACAGTCAGCACGAAGCTGAGTCAGATCTGATAAAGTTATACTCTCACCTTCTATCGTTAAAAAATCAAAAACTTTTGAGATTCATACCACGCGTTAAAATATGACACGAAGTACTTGTAGTTTTCTTGAGCATGGAGCACTTCATCTGTTCCTTTTCCTACGAGGCCTAGCTTCTTGAAGACGAAAGTCGGGGGAATTCTGTAGTAAAACCAGATCTCCATCTTCAGCCGAATAATTGCATTTGAAACCCCTGGAATTTTAAAATTGAAACCTTTAACACCCTTCGGCAGCGTCGACGGTAGCGGCTTCGGTACATTCTTGGGCATCTTTAGAAATATAAGTTTGGACGCTAGCTCCAGGGGCATACTTCTCAATAATATGGAGCGCAGCTTTGGTAGTGACGACTTCTTCTTGCCTTCCAGTAGTTTTGTGATTGAAGTTCGGACGCTCTTGTCCTCCATCAACTTCGAGTATTTCAAGTTAGAAACGGACGGTAGAAAACCTCGTTCTTCTTTATCTGAAGCTGTTAAATTGACCCCAGATATACACGGCACGTTGGAGGAGTCAGTGCTTCGGCCCTCTTGACTGTGTTTCTCTGCTACATGTATCCGCAGACGGCGCTTGCTACTGCTCTTGTGTGTGTGCCTCTCTCGCCTTAGAGTTGCGTCAGACGCGGAGAGCTCGGAGCTAGTTGCTGGGCATATTCCTCGGGCCAAGACAACAGCTACCACTAATACAGCACCAAGTAATCGCCGCATGATTGGCGCTGATTGTTGTTCTGACTCTCGGCCTCGCGCTGCGACTCGCAGGCTAGAGATATATTCAGAGTGGCGACACACGCGCGGTACTGTCCGTGTTTACGATGTGCACAGTACGTGTACAAAATCTTCACTCCGACAGATGTTGGTGCTGTCGGTGAATATTATTATATTATAATAGAGAACCTTCTACTTCAGTATTAGTTTGATGATGTCTCCATTACCCTTATTTACAAGTATGCCCTGCCTTCCCAACAAGGACAACTAAGTGTACATGAGCTCCTTCATCCACCTCGACCATGCTACAGCCTAGGTACATGTATTACCTCGAAGTATACATGTATTATTAATTTTAATAGAATGAAATAGGAGTCAGCAAAACCCTTTTTAATACTGGTACATGTAGGTACATAAGCTGCCTAGACTATTTTAGTTAGGACTGTTTTTGAAGCAATCTAGGTAACTAGCCTACTTACATGTAAACTGTACTTTGGATTTTGCTGCCTATCATTCCCTGTGAAATGGTTCAGTGCAAAATTTGCACTGCAAAATACCTTTAGCCGGACCAGCAGCTGTAACGTCAAATGTGTTAGAGACAGAACATTACGTACTGTACACTTTGCGTGAGTAAAATGTGAGTCCAAATTCCACGGAAATTTCCCCAAAGCTACGCGTGCTTCACAATGGCTTAGGCACCTACTGCACAGTACAACATTCGGACATGCTGTACTGTGTTATCAATTAAATTGATACTTCCTCTGTCCGGAAATAGATCCAGGTCGCACTTTAGTACGTCCGGAATAATAAAAGGCTACCTTAAGAAAATAAATAAGAAATGATTTTCAATAGTCTCGTGAAACTGACACGATACAGACAATCCTCTCTATAGTGATACCAACGAAAAATCACTTTTTATTACTATCCGGAGAAGACAATAATTAAAGCTGTACGCTGCAATTTGATGTATGATGTTCTAACGTATTATGACATTCAGAATAAAATGTCCCCATCAATTAGAAACTAGCGACAGCCACAAACTCACTGAACATTGTCCTACCTCCCACGACAAATTTCACTGGGGTTAAGTATGTTTTTTTATTTATTTATTGTCCTTTATGGTCGGTCATAAAGGTAGGATATGAGGCTATTCATTGAATAGCCAATGAATAGCGGCTTAAAAATTGTAAGTTATTAATACCGTACATGTTTTAATTTACCGCTTTTCGCTCCGCTTCTAACCTTGTAGCCTGTCGGTCTGTCCAGGAGTCACCATCGACAAACCCAGCGCCGCGAGCGGACGAGAAGGTGGTGGACAAGAAGAAGGCGCCACCAGATAAGAAGAGAGCCCCGGTGCAGGTCCCGGCCATGTGAAATAGTGCCCTTCCGACATCCGGGGGAGATACACCGACACATGCTGCATCAGCTTCCAGCCCACAGTCCCAAGGCACTGTAGCTGCGGACGTAGAAGCAGCAGTTGCCGGGATTATATCCCAAGTCGAGGTTGGGGAGACGAGTAGGCAGCCCCTTCTATCCGGACAAGCCCAGAACCCCAATCATATACCATCGCGAAGAGAAAGCGCGCTGGTACCAGATCATCAAGGAAGCGCCGCCGACGTATCCTTCACGATGAGAGCGAGGAAGGAGAAGACGATTCAATACGTTTTGTTTATGTATCCATCATAACGTTTGTTCTGACAAAGGGTATTCAACATAAGACTAACTTAAGACGTCACTGGCTTTGAATGCAGGCTCAATTCAGTACGATAACATAGAGGCAACAACGGCGATATTGTGTACAATAGTACGCAGAGTTCTATTTGGTATTATACACTATTAGAGAGAGATCTATTATGATTTTTGCAAGATGTATGAAAAGTCATAAACCCTTTAAGCAGTACCGGTTGTCCGGTGGAGCCCGGTGACTGCTGTAAGCCCCTCCATCGATTGAATGACTCTCGCTGGCAACTCCAGCTGCTCGATACCGAGCTGTAGAAACATACCGCGTAATTTTAAATTAAAATGGCGCCGTTCCTGCTTTGTCGACCGGATTCGAACCAGGGCGTTCACCGCCACAAGGTGATGTACTGACCACTTTATTACAGACGCCTGAAGAAGCAGGGTATCAATCCCTGTATCTCTCGCATGCTAAGCGAGCACTCTATCTTTTGAGCTACATTCCCTGATTTATACGCTATTAGAGAACTTGTGCAAAAGTAGCAAAACAGTGAAAATTAACTGTGACATCAGGAAGGATTGGGATTAGGTAATGATTGTGCTATGAGCGTAAAGCAAATTTCGATAGAGCCGTCCTCACTGTGCCTGCGATTCACAATACAAGCGGTGGTCACGGAGAACGGTCAGAATGTTGAGCGATGGAGGCGTCATTGCTGTCGAGAATGCGACTTCTACTGAGGCTGTCGCGTCACATAGTGGCAAGTCAAAGCGAAAGAAAGGTTTTTGCTTTCTCCCATCGAGTGATATCTTCCCCCTAATAAAAACAATAAGAACTCGCCGTGGGCAGCAGGTCACAGTGATACGTTACAGCAATGTGAGCAAGTTGCCAGTGACCTAAACGCAGCATTAACCGGCTGCACTGCAGACGGCAAAGCGTGTCGCCGCCGTCTTACTGCACTTCTTGATGTCTTTCGTCGCGAGGCGATGAAATCACTTAGAGCCTCCGGTACGGCTGAGGAATATACTGAGCACGATCTGCTACTAACAGATATCACCGCATTGGTACGATGCTGCTATTAGTATCACTCTGAGTTATTCGTACCTGATATGATGCATACCGTTTACGGTTGCAGGATAAATATGATAAAACAGAAAAAGAGCGGAGGGAAGCAGAGCGGTGCGAATTAGCGTCCGCTGAAGTTGTTCGAGATGCTATGGTGAGCCTAGGTCGCTCACTTACGAGTGAATACGGTAGCGAGGAGCGTACAGCTCCTACGCCAAAGAGACAAAAGCGTACGAGAGCCGACATGATTGCAGAGTATTGTAAGAAATGGTGGGCAGCGTCAAGAAGGCTGCTCTGTTGGAGAATAAAGACGTCATGGCGGGTACCAGGAATAGGGCCATTAAGGTGGATGATAATGCCGTCTGGTGCAAGTACCGATTGATACTTTAGTACATGCTTTCTCTGTAACATCAACACCGAAATCACAACTGAATCAACATAAGGCGTATCAAGTAAAAAAGCAATGACTACTTTGTGTCAGCTGTACACGTACTTCTGGTTCTTGGCTGGGCGACAAATATCACGAACGGCGCCGTAATAGAGCCTTAACCGAGCACCTTTCACGTAAATAGCGCTAGCGAACGCTTGTAAATTGGGGGCATTTAACATGTCAAAGAGCAAAAGGTGAGAAAATGAGTCGTACAGATATTCCAGTACAGCATTTGATATCGACGATATCGCTGTAGGGTCACGGCCAAATAGGTCTTCCCGATCTTCAAGGCGTGCAGGATACGCCATACGACGAAGGAAAATGCACAATGCTTCAAATGCGGACACACGATAGCGCTGCAGCGATGGGAAATAATTACTAGAATTAAAAGACATAGCTCAAAATCGCTGTAGTTTTCGAAAGTTGAGGTTTAAACAAAAATATTTATTAGAACCTGTGAGATGATTATTAACAGTGCACGATTATTCAGGTCACACAACAATTTAGGGTGAGCGGTGTACCGCGGTTTGGCCTTGAATGAACCACATGACATGTACGATATGACAGCAATCCTGTTCAGTGTAAAGATGCGTCAAGCCCTTATATGGATTGTGAGGTTCTGATGCTCTATAACCGCACCCATTTACCCACTAGCAACCCCTTGCTAAATGGCGTTACTCCAACCTTAACTACGACACTACAACAAGCTATACAGCAACTATACATCTTATAGCGACCTCAAAAGAAACCTTAGCAAAAACAAAAGCAACCCAAGGTCCCAGATTCCGACACTCTAACCCCAAACGAGGACTAACGTCACGGACTTTCAAATCTTCGAAAATGGAATGGCTGGTAGGACATCTAGCGCACAAACCTCACCCTTTACACCCTTGAGAATGGTGGCAGAGACCAAAGTCGAGCTAGATGAGACCGGGCTTGGTCCCTGATTAAAACCCGGATTCTATACACACGCATCGAAAGCTACAGAATTTGTTTCGGCTTTGCCGAAATTTTAGGATCCACCCCCTTCCTCGGCCTAATGACACGGTAACCACTCCACCAGGGGTTAATGGTAACTCCAAAATCGGTGAAGTTGATATTGTGAGAATATCACCTTTAGACCAGTTAATATAAAAAATATCACCTAATATTTTCAACAACTTTCAAGTTGATATTTAATAATATCATATTGGCAGTGAGCCAATATGATATTATTAAATATCAACTTATATTAGTTAACACGATATTATATTTTTAAATGATTGCGTAATCGGGCTAAATTAACTAAGTAGATGTAGTTAACGCTCGACTAGCTGAAATATTACTAATCAACCGTGAGGGAGGGACAATTGTGAGAGTGACGGCAAGGTTGGCGTCGTGTGTTGGCACTGCTGAGCGAATTAATCTAGCCCCACAGGCAGCAGGTTTATTAGACGCACGATGTCGACGAGGAGATTGGTAGAGAACAAGAACAAATGTCTTGATTTCGCTCTTCCAACGTTAAACAGCTGCAAGCGTTTGCAGTTTTCCATCTCGATCGCCTTTGTCTGTGTCACAGTGAAATACTAGAGATTATACTCGTCAGTCTTAAAGCCTACTGCTTTTCTAGAACCTGATCTAAAAAGTTATTTGGCTCCGCTCGGGTAAGCTGGCAAGAAACGTACTTAAGTGGGAAAATATCATAAAATATCATGTAGTATCTAATATTTTTCTGTTCTCCGAGTTAATATAAAAATATTATGTTAGCTTTTGCAAAATTGACTATTTAATATCGAAAATAGTACTATTACTATCAAAAATATCATATGATATTTGGTTACCATTAGCCCCTGCACTCCACACCTTGCTTTACATCAGCCCTAAACGGCTCCGACGTTGCAAGATCGCACAAAACAATAACCCTGTAATGGTATTTACTGTCTTAATTTCACTATACCTTAGTTTCCATACATAAATCTAGAGCGTGCATAAATGTTTGGGTTTATCCCGCCCGAACTATCGTATTTGCCGGATTTTGTTCCGATGCGTTTTGTAGAACATACATAAATGCTTGGATCTACGTCATATCCGCTGCGCAATGTGATTGGACAAAACTGTATTTATTCGGGTAATGGCCCCACAGAGCTAACGACAATTGATAGCGCAAATTTTACGTTAGCTACTGCTTGGCACCTTTCTACCTCGTTCCGGTAATTACGTATTTTTACAAGTAGGCATCAAGTCATTTGCTCTTATTCTGAAATCGCTGGAAGAAGACAAACGCTAAACCATTCTTGGCGCTCGTCGATCTCACGCGAGCATATTTTGAGGGTACGCCAGTTAGACGCGATAAGACCTGATGCGATCTGCTGCGTTACTGCTGACGCGCGTCGTGTATGTGTGTGTTGCGCTAGGTGTATGGTACCAGGACCACAGAGACGTGGAACAAGCTGTTACCGTAAGCAAACGTCAGAAGATGCCACATTTTCAACTCCGGCTTATTCTACGATCCTGGTGCACCGGATAACCTCACCAGTGATGAAGCGTCTGAGCGTGAGTTCGAGTCGCCCACCAGACATTTTTTGTCACATGTGGAGCAACACGAGTGAGATTGGTTTGATATGGCGCTACCGATGATCGACTGACGTTCTGGTGCTCAATATTACTAGACGTGTATGGTGGTCAAGAGGCAGCGGTCATCGCTTTTTGGCGAACATAGCTATAGGTCAGACTGGTAAGCCTGTGTTCAATAGCCGAGGCTCGTCCCTGGTGGTGCACCAGTCTAGTAAGCTGATGTCGGCGCGCAACAGCACGAGTTTAAACCTACGTAAGGTCCTTTCATACGGATATTTATTAATACGAATTAAGCTGGCAATGTAAGCAGCCTTGTGTTTATGCGACTAATGCTAAATATTCATGAAGTGATAATGTTGGTCCTACAGATTCACTTTGAAAGCGTCCAGTTAGCGTTTTGTTCTGGGGAGAAATACGTGAATTTGCCATGAATCATACTCATGTGACGAGTTTTGCCCCGCACCTATCTGATCCAAGGCCATGGTTTCTCACTTCAGATTAAGGAAAGGCAGTAGCAATGGCGCCGCGACGAGCGAAGCGTGTGCCTGAAGACGCCTTTGGAATGGAACAGCACTCATCTCGTACACGTGCTCGAAGATAAAGCAAGAAGTCAGCAACCAGATCCCAAAACACTACCGACAACCAGAGATGCAGTGATAGTTAGCAGAAAACATGTACACGTGCGGCAGATTATGCCAGCAATACCAGTGTTGATGACATGTATGAAGTCCATGACATTATCGAGGAGCGCAAGGACTACTTATTGGTCAAATGGTCTGGGTATGACTAGGACGAGAGCACGTGGGAACCAGAATGTAATCTGAAACGACACATGGCGAAGCGTTTTCACCAACAGCTTGGTGCAGCACACGACCAAATGAATCAAGAAGCGGAAACGAAATCGACACACAGTAAGAAGAGAGGCCACGCAGCACCCGTTGATGCTGATGAAGAGCTATCTTCTCAGGGGGTTACAACCAATGATAGCACCCACGACAACGATTATATCGCTATCGTTGGGGCGCGCGTCGCCTTTGTTTAGAGTGAATAAGAATGGATGCCGGGGGGAGACTATAGCTTGTGAGGCCCGCTTATCTCACTGGCGTAATATAACGGTTGAAAGACAGCCCAATTAAAATGGCGAGGCATGTTCATGTCATTTTCCGAAGCAAGGCCCTAGAAGGCATTGTCAGATACAACCGAATGAGTGCAAATGCGATGCAAGACGAGACTTGGGATGTATTATGTCGTCCATATCATGAACCAGTGGAGAATGGTGATTAGCGGGACGAGTTTGAGGAGGTTGGCGAGGCGTTTGCTCGTTACGAGCGTTGTGTGATCATCCCCGAGGATGTGGGTAAAGTGGCGTGTGTCCGCCATGGAG